CCCTTTTTTTTTTTTTTTTTTTTTTTTTTTTTTTTTTTTTTTTTTTTTTTTTGTTTTCCCTTTTTCTTTGCTTTCATTTTCCCTCGAGAAAGAATTCAAGGCGCGTTATTCTCGGCCAATCACGAAGCGAGAGGTCGTGTTGTCCCTTGAGACCATTCCGGTTTAGCGCCCCTCCTTCCGTAGTGATCTCGGCAAGGCCGTGGCGCGTCGAGCCCAGTCAAAAATAAGCCGCATCCCCATCCCGCTTCTACCTCCATATTCTTCCAACAACCCCATCTGTAGTACTGTACACCAATTCAACCACATCACCACGTGTTTTACTTCCGTTCAACCATCGTCTCTCTTAATCTCATATCCACCGGTAAACCTTCATCATGACTGGACGTAAGTACCTCCCCTGCGCTCGGCTCAGGCTCTATCCCCAATCTCGGGCTTGAACGCGCTTCTCGCGCTCGATGACATTGTGCTAACGCGTCTTTGCAGGTGGAAAAGGTGGCAAGGGTCTTGGGAAGGGTGGAGCCAAGCGTCATCGCAAGATTCTTCGTGACAACATCCAGGGTATCACGAAGCCTGCGATCCGTCGTCTTGCTCGTCGTGGTGGTGTGAAGCGTATCTCTGCTAGTATGTTTTCCTCGTTCTATTTTCATCTGGCGCGGTATTGACGCTTTGAACAGTGATCTACGAGGAGACGCGGGGTGTTCTCAAGACCTTCTTGGAAGGTGTTATTCGCGATGCAGTCACATACACAGAGCACGCCAAGCGCAAGACCGTCACTTCTCTCGATGTTGTTTATGCTCTGAAGAGACAGGGCCGTACTCTGTACGGTTTCGGTGGTTAAGCTTCGGGGTTTACGGTTCTTCATCAATGTCTCTTACGAATTTCTTCTCTGGCTACTTGGCTGGAAGGCGGGTGTGCAATGGGAATGGGTCTTGCTTTTGGGTGTTTATTGTATCATATGGGATATAGGGTTCTCTAGTCTAGTGGATAGTCTGAAATGATCAGTCCTCTGTTATGTGTCATTAATATGTATACTTGTATAGTGTACTACATTGTTGTTGTGTGAGAGGAGGGGGGGGTCAGGCTAGGCTTTACACGACTTGTAAACACGCGCCCCCCCCCCCCCCCCCCCTCCTTACTTAGGACAAAATCATTGTTATTTACTCTTATGTAAGACAGTACAACAAAACATAGAGACAGCATTTTTAAAATCAAGCTATTAAACAACCTTTAGAAACCTTAACAGGCCTCTCCTAATCTCTAAAGCCTCTTTATTATATAGTAATAGTATACTTAGGCTACTTAGTACTCTTAAGGCAAACTACTAAAGAAAGGTATAAAGAGATACTAAGGAGTATAGTTTACTTATTATTAACTCTTATACCGTCCTAGCCTAGGGCTATACAGAACTTCTACCTAATTATCTAATCCCTAGGAAAACTATAAATACAGATAAAAAACCTAGGTTCTACTTATCCTTAATATCTTACGTGTCTTCCTTACTACTTATAGTACTACTATAGCGATAGTAGGTCACCTTTTAGCTATAAAGAAGAGAGTTAGCTAAAGAGAATTAAGAAAGGCGTCCTAACTAAATAAACTACTTACTTAAGATCTAGGCCTTCTTTAAGGTATTAGTAAGCTAGTTATAGTCTAGAGCGCCCTTAGTATATAGCTAGTACCTTTATAGCTCTTTTAAGAAGTAGTAGACTATAATATACTTTACTGTTTCTATAGTAAGGCTATACTTACATTACCTTATATTAATACCTAAGACCTAGTACTTTTATAAAAAGGCTATTAGGCCTGTCTTCTTTATCTTAATCTATATAATTATTAAGCTTTTAGCTTTTTTAAGGTTATTATAAATACTTAAGAGCTTTTTGTTTAGTAAGACTCTAGTGCCTTACTAGTCTATCTCTTATACTTACCTTTATACCTTAACTATCTTTTCTTTTATCTTCTTTTTTGTTTCTACTCTCTTAGCTTAACCTTAGGCCTAAGTATCCTTTTTAACCCTTAGGTTTAGGTTAAAGGCGTGTTGTATACCCTTAGTTTTATATTATATACGTTTATAGCTTTATTAGATTACTTTCTTATAGCCGGCTTCTTAGAGCTATACTCTTTATATTATAACAAGTCTATTAAAGTAAACGTAAATTAGTAGAGTATACGTGTTAAGTACGCTAACATGTAAGACTACAATAGCTTAGAAATCAAGTACAGGGTAACTACGTACTACAACTAAGGTAATAGTAGACGTTAAGAAGCATAAGAATAAAGAAGAGAAAGGAAAAAAGAAGAGGGGTTTAGAGATTAGTCTATAGTTAAAGTAGTAATATACCTTTAAATATACTACAACTATTTATTAACTCTTGTCTCTTTTACTTTATAGAAATATACCTAACATTCTAATCTCTCTTCTTTACTAAAAGGTTATAGACTATTAGAGTAAGAAGTAATAACGTAGACACAATAAATAAACCTTAACGAGACGTAGGCCTTTTTTTAAGTAACTCTTTAGAATACTTCTTTATAAGTAGATAGTAGTAAACCTAGTATAACTTACTAAATGTTAATAGAAATCCTTTCCTTAAGTAAGACTAAGTTAAACAAAAGGATTACTTAAGTAAAGGTAGAGTAGTGCTTTAAGTAAAAGTAAGACTACCTTATAGTACTTAAGAAAAAAGAGGCTTCTTTAATAAACCTATACAAATTTAATAACCCTCTTAAAGTAGAACAGCCCTTCTAGTAGACCTATATTAAAGAAACAAGAAAGAGCTATTATAATACTCCTTTTATTCTACTAAAAAACAAGATATATACTAGTATTATAACCTTCTTATTTAACTAAAAAACAAAGTTTAATACTTATCTAGAGAGTTATCTAACAGATACTAAACGTATTAGCGCTATAGTAGTAGTACTAAAAGATTATATTAAAGAGTACTAAAAGTCTTTTATTTTCTTAGAAAAAGGCGGATTAGTTCTTAATATAACTTAAAGAGAAATAAAGGTATAGCTCTTTTATAGTATTATAAATAAGGGTACTTACTCTCTTAAAGTAGTATTAAAACTCTAAATATTAACTTAAAACTAAAATAAGACCTTTAAGAATTTTCTTTAATAGTATAACTCTTTAGTTATTAAACTTAGCTACGCTCTTCTAGAGATGTTCTGTATCTGCCTTCTTATTAATTGTTTAAAGCCTAAGTTAAGGGCCTATATAGTAAGTAATAAGGTCTTAGATACCTTTAAGGTAGTTAAGGTAGTAGCGTTAAGAAAGAAAACTCTTATTTAGATAAGGTAATAAAAAGGCTTTTATAAAGCCTCTTTAATACTATACTATACTAAGAAAGGCTTTTCTTATAATCTAAAGACTTTATCTATACTAGTAAATACGTAAAAGGTATCTAGTAGCTAAACTTTAAATATATAAAAGGACTCTCTTAGCGTTACAAAAACCCTTTTAGTAAGTAAGGTATAAGGTAACTACTACTAATACTAGTAGCCTAGTTATTAAGTAAATTTGTACTTACTATATAAATGCTTTATATATAGTTAATCTAGGTATACTTATACTTAGTACTCTAATAAGGCTAGTACTTTAGGTACTAATACTATACTAGTAGCTTACTACGTTGTACCTAAATAATAAGAAGAGAGGCGACCCTTAATAAGTATTTAAGTAGAGATATATATTAAGGGTAGCTAAGTAGCTATACTAGCCTTACTAGACTTAAGAGTAGAAGTTAACCTTATCTACTTATAACTATTAGGACAAGAGGCACTATAGTAACTTAATAATTATATTATAGTGTCTTTACTATTCTAAAAAACAACAACAAGCTTTAGATTATACGATCTGTTTGTTAAGGCCTAAGATAACTACTTAATAGTAAGGTAACATTAAGGTAGATTTGTTATTACTAATATTAGAGACTTAGATATTATACTTAGATTTCTATAGCTAGAGGCTATAGACCTAATCGTTTTATAAAAGACCTAGACGTTTATATACCTTACGTCGTCTTTAATAGTCTAGCTATATATAATAAAGAAAGAAATTAGAAAAGTAATAAAAGAAGCCTAATTTGTAATCGTAGTAATAGTATAACTAATTATAGTTAACCTAAAATCCTTAAGTAAAGAGAAACTATAAGAGAAACTATAAGAAGATAGTAAGGCTATAGTGACCTTACTTAGTAAGTACTAATAATTTATAGACGTCTTCTCTAAAGAAAGGACTAGATTACTACTTATAATTAATAGCCCTACTTATATAATAGACCTTAAAGAAGACGTAGTACTACTATATAGCTAAATCTACTTACTTATAGAGGTTAAGCTAAGTGTCTTATACAAATATTTAGACGATACTCTAGTAAAAAGATAGATCTGTCTAAGTAAGAGCCTTACTAGTACTCTAATACTATTTGTTCTAAAGAAAGAAGAAAAGCTACGACTTTACGTTAACTACTATACGTTAAATAGTATAACTAGAAAGAACTAAGCCCTTATTCTATTAATTAGAGAGATCCTTAATCGGCTATTATAAGCCTATGTCTATACTAAGCTTAACCTATATAAAGCGTATTATTAAGTTTGTATTAAGGCTAATAATAAGTAGAAAACAGCTTTCTAGTACTAATATAGCTACTTTAAATACTACGTTATACCCTTTAGGCTAGTAAACGTACTAGCGACCTTTTAGTCCTTTATTAACAAAGTACTAGAGAATCTTGTTAATAATATTTATATTATATATCTTAATAATATCCTTATCTACTTTATAAATAAAGAAGAGTATATGTAGTATGTTTACTACGTCCTTAAACGTCTCTAATAACATAACCTATATACTAACCTCTTAAAGTATAAGTTTAATATAAAGTAAGTAAGGTTCTTAAGATACGTTATTAACCTATAAGAAGTTTGTATTAAACCTAAGTATGTCTTTATAATCTAAGAATAGCTTATTCTTATAACTATAAAGGATATTTATATCTTTCTAGGGTTTACTAGGTTTTATAAGCGCTTTATTAAGAATTATTTAAAGATTACTATACTACTAATAAATCTCTTTTAAGGCGACGTTACTAGTACTGTTACACTAAGTTCTAAAGCTCTAAAAGCCTTTTATAAGCTACGACTAGTCTTTATAAAGGCCTCTTTCTTATGTTACTACGACCCTAAACTACTTACATATATAGAAACAGATACTTTTACTTATACTATTAGTACTATCCTTTTATAGCTATAAGAAGGCTACTAGTACCTTGTTACATTTATTTTTAGAAAGCTAAAAGGGCTAGAGCTACGTTACAATACCCTTAACACTAAGTTAATAGCTATTATTAAGGCTTTTAGGTTATAGAGGCCGTACTTAGTATATATATAAAGTTTAGTATTAGTTTTAATAGATTACTTAAACTACTATTACTTTTTTATAAAGCTAAAGTTGTTATAGTAATAAGCTAGATAGCTAAAGAAACTTTCTGTCTTTAACTTTAAGATTAAATATAAGAAGAGTAGCTAAAACCTTACTAATAGGTTGTTGTAGTAGCCTGACTTATAAGATCCTAATAAGTAATTAAAGGTATAACAAGCTCTTTTAGTAACTTTCCTTAATAAATTCTAGGTAAACATAGTTACCTTAAAAGCTATTAGTCTTACTATAAAGCTTGTTTAAAACAAAGCTTTTATTCCTTTTATTCTTTTAATTCCTTTTATTCTTTTAATTTCTTCTATTCCTTTTAAAGGTCTAGTAACCTCTTTAACGTATACTGTCTTAGTAGAATCGCTCTAGCGTAAGAGGCTAGACTTACGCCGGCTAGTAGA